TCGCGTCTTAACCAAAAGTGAAAATGGAATAAGAGAATTGCCAAGCTGTCAAAAGTGTGCATTGACACTGACATTGAAACTGCATTGTGAGCTGATGCTGACTTGACTGCACCTTGCATAGCTGTTAGTGTTTATAAATGCTATGGCTGACTGTGCACCCATCCATCCTTCTACCGCTCTCCAAAGGGCGTGTGAATCACTCCCAAAAAAACGACAAGCATTAAAATCAAGACGTAACGCCAGAGGATGACATAAAGATACGACAAATTTCAGGGGAAGTGTATATGTTTGTGTATCCGTGGGGATGACTGAGTGGGGTGGAGTGTTGCGAAGGCTGACTGCTTGAAGGGAAACATCAGGCCTCCAATGAATACAGAGGGTCCAGCAAACAGCAGAGTGGCTCCCAGCTCTGTGACTGGAGTCAATTCGACAGTCATCAGCTTGGCTGGGCGAGAGCTCCCACCGCCACCACCCCCCTCCCTCCCACTTGGCTATGTGGAATCAGGACAGATGACTTCATTCTGACAGGATTATCCCAAACCTGGTTCTAATATATACAGTACACATAATACATTTTTACAATATGACAAGCAAAACAAGCGACCATAGAGACGGCCTATTCCCCGGCACCGGTCTTGGCTTTGTGCTGATCTTTCCTGACAGTATTTATCACCTCAAAGCAATGCACACATCAGAATGAGATTTCATTACAGAATCACCTTGAGACAGCACCTAACTGAATAACACACTGCATTGTTGTTGCTATGATTTTATGAAGTGACTTTCTTGTGAATGGGCATATCTCTGCTAAAATGTTTAACGACTTCCCTAAGAATGACTCACTTCAGTAACAGCGGCGTGAAATCAGGCTACAAACGGCATTATCAACGACTATTCCTTCTCTCACTATGCTCAGCACTTCTTTTTCTTCATATTTCTGGTCTATAATGCTTTAAATATATTTATATGTCACTCTAAACTAAATCTAAATGCACAGAGTTTTTTTTTTCACACAATAACCGACCCATGACATGAATCTAGTGTCCTGCCTATTGTCACCTCGCCACTGGGCGATCGCTGCTGTGCCACTTTGGGCCACTGGCCGGCCAGACTGCGGAGGCACCTCGAAGTGCTGCCTCAGATCAGCCTGCAGCACTGGCTGAGCTCCAGCTGACAGGCTTTGGCCTAGTGCTCTAATGACTTACAGATTGGAGCTCTGTGGTATACATGTGTCAGGACAATGCCATGGGCCTACTGCAAAAACAGTAGGAGAGGGAGGGAAAGCCGCCGGCTTCTCCCTGTCCTGTCAGACAGAGGCTTGGCCCCTGGATTGTGTCACATCACGCTTCCCCCCAACAGACCACAAATGAAGGATGTGAAAAGCAAATGCGGGGAGGAGGAGGGGCATTGGAGGGGAGCTCTCTAACTTAAAAGGCTTTCATCCTGTAAACTGAAAAGACATTATCTTTTGACCTGGAGATGCCCTCCACGAGGCTGTACACTATGGTGTGAGAACAGAGTGAGCAAAGGAGAACGAAAGAGAGAAAAGAAAAGGGAAAGAAGAGAGGATCGAGGCTTCAGCTGGTAATAGTGTAGATAAGGAAATTGTCTGGTTTTTAAACATTATCTGTAGTTTCTCTGTCTGAAGAATAACAAGTGATGCACCTTTGACATTATGAAAATGTTCAGCGAAATATTTATCAGTGAATTGTGAATAGTGTTTCTCATTTAAAATAGAAGGCCAACACATAATTACAATAAGTGCAAAAACTTTTAGGGTGGAAGATGATCTTTACTTTAATATGGACAACAAAGCTCTCAGTAAAGCAATCACTTTCCCTCTCCACAAGCAAACTACCTCTGCTAAAAGCCTGAATTGTTAACACGCTACATTATGCACCTGCCTCTCTTCAAAGCAGCCGTTCATGTATTCTCATTACAATCAGCACAGACTGACAGAAATCAGTCGCTGTCATTCAGCAGTAGATGCAGGAAACTGGCTGCTGGCCATGTACCTCACCGTACTGAATGCTGATCTTAAACACAATCCTGGATGGGAAACAAGCATAATCTGGATATTACACTCAGAGCATAGACACCATATTGACACAACATCTCCTGCCCGGGTACCACATAATCCCCTGTAGTAGGTGGATGCGTGCACAGGTTCCCTTGGAATGAGGTGTAGTTAACCAGCCGGTCTCGTGTGCATTGCCACAAACGAGCATCAATTCCCCCCCTCCCCCCACCTCGGTGCTGGTGGACTATCAGCGAGGGTCCGACAGTGTTGTTCCTAATTACCTATTTCTCCACTCCTGATCCTGCGGCTGGCATAATTAGTTACCTGGGGCTGCAATCCAATTTGAAGTGATGACAAGAAAGTGATCCATGAAAAAGTAATAAGTTAAATCCAATTTCAGCCTGCCTCTAATTAAATGCACATGGAACTAATGAGTCAAACCCTACCATTTCACTGATAATGGTAATTAGCGGGGTGGGAGTTGCCGGCTCTCGTCGTTGTGCCACTGTAGGTGTGAAGCGCAAAAGGTAAAAGCGGCATGGATTCTTTTAATTACATGTGTCATTCTGTCAATGTAATTTACTGGCTTTTTGACCAGTCAAGTATGTTTAGCTGCTTTCCAGCATGCATAGCAGCTGTTTGTATATCTAGCATGATTAAAAGGCCTCTAGGCTGCTGAGTATACAGCGCAGGCATCTTTATCCAACGGCAGGGGTGGGCGGTACAGGGGTGAGGGGGCTTCGGGGGCACCCCTGCTGAAGATATAAAACCAAAGAGCCATTTAATGCTGATCAAGGATTCTGAGGCTTGTTTGACTCATATTTTTTTTCCCTTTAGTGCTCTGTGCAGGTCAGTTTTTTTCCTGGATGTTTCATATATACAGTGCTTCATTATTTTTGACTTGAATGAATTGGAAAGTGAGTCACATCTCCAAATGAGTAAAAGTCTCTCTGCACATCTCCTCGTGCCTAATAGGAAGAACACTGAGATGAATGGAGTCTCGTCTGCAGATCAGGTGCTTTTATGAGGTGTCAGCTTACTACACAGTCCCATAATTGTTGGATCATGTCTTTTGATGACCCAGTCCAGCTCAACAGAGAATCATTATCCAGGCTGTGTGATGGAGATAGTGAATGTTCTGTGTGAAGGAGGCTCCTCTAAGCACAGGGTTTGTTCTTAAAAGAGAAAATGACTATCTGGTGTTTGAAAAAAAAACAATGTTTGCGATATGGAACATAACAGAAATGCCACCAACTGAAAACGTTAAACTAAATGCAATGCAGACTTGCACAGAATGGCCCAGTGATGTCTGCGCCTGAATACTTATCCTTGTGTGTGCACTGCTAGTGGTTGGGCTGGGTTTAATTAGTAGAATATGTAATTTGGAGATAAACAAACACTCGTCTGGACTTGTGGTTTTTTCATAATGGCAGTTTCAACTCAGCAAAATGTAGCATAGGACATTAGAGAGCAGGCAATTTACAGCGTTAGTTAGATACTACAGTGAGCCTGAGCTCTCTTCACAAGAACTGGGCAGAAGAGGGGAGTAAGAGAGGGGGGGCAGGGGGAAAGGGCCCGACTCTCTTTTCAATAGCTGAGTGACAGCTTGGCCAAGCTCTCTGTATACATTAATAAATTAGAATTTTAATTTTGTCTTTGTCTGCAGGAGATGGTTTAGTACTTTACTATGTACCAACAACTGGCTGTATGCTGGAATCTGCCGTTGTGGTCCCCTCTGTTGACCTCTGCAGCACAATTCCCTGGCAGGCTGGGGAAACTGTTTAGTTTGATCCTTTCAACTTATTTGAATCCTGACAAATATGCACACAACTGAAAGGTCATCACAGTCATATTTCATCCTCTGGAGCTATTCCGAAGACATCTGCACAACAAAGAGGCTTTTCCACAACCTGACATTAGACCTAGCTGCTACAATAGCTCATTAAAAAGGGCCCCCAATGGGATAGTAAGGGTATTAAATATTATATATATACACACAGAGAGAACAGGGCCTCCGTATTAATTACCAAATATGCCCTGAAGTCGTTTGCAATTTCACACTGACACAAACAACCGCTCCTTGTTCAAACAAAGATATACATCTCTGAGGCAAATGTTGCATCAGAAATACAGCACTGTCGATCTTAAAAGCAAGATGAAAAAACAAAACAAAACCCCCCGATTTTTTCCCCGCTGTTTTTTTTCCTTTGCATTACAAAGGCAGTTCAAATAAGTGTCCCACCACCTGTTTACCTCTTAATACCTTTGCATTCTCCCACCCCGTGCTCATGTCTCTCTGTTCCACCTTTAAACCCTCCGCCTGGAACACACACCCCACTTGCGGTCTGCTCTAGAGCACCTCCTGCTGCCAGAGGTATAGACTAGCCTCTTCTTTTATTTCTGCTGTATGCATGAGTGTGATGAAAAGAAAGCAAGGAAAGAACAAAGCCAAACTCCCTTTAGCGGGAGGAATTGAGCTCTTTCTCTTCTAGCTTTTCCTCTTTTCCACACTTTCTCCTGCTTACAAACTTCCTAAACAAAATGCAGCCAATAAAGACAATCCTGTCTACTGCGGTAATCTCAAACAGTGATAATCCAGATAATACTGGATGAGCTCATGTGATCTCAACCGGCCACAATGAGATTTTTCTGTGTGTCTGGCCTCTAAACAGAACCCCTTTTTACATAGTGGTACCACCTCCAGTGCTACCTGGATGACACAGGGTTGAGCGTGCGTGCCGCTAAATCACACATAATGCGTGAGCATACATAACTGCAAATGTTGCACTGCCAATATTAATTTCCTGTTTGTGAACTTAGACTACTGCTGTACTTTTTCTCGCACACTATGTTCTAGCAAGAGTTGCACAAGTTCACTTCATTTTTTTTTATTATCTGAATAACCACAAAGTTAAATAACCAAGCCATCAGATAACCCTGAGTTAAAATATGAGAGAACATCTGAGAACGACAACAATACCTGCAGGCTTTGCTGCTTGTCGTTGGCTTTGGGGGATTTGCGACCAGTATTTTGCTGAGACTGCAGTTGCTGTGGCTGGGATTGCTGCTGTTGCTGAAGAAGTATTTGCCGAGCCATTTGAAGAGCCTAGAAGAGAAATTAAAAAAGAAAAGTTACGTCCCTGGAGAACACTTTGATGCCTATTATCAGTGCAGACGTAACCCTTAGAGCAATATTCTCATTGCCGTATGAAAGACAACAAAAACCACAGACCTCCTTTCATGTTATCCTGTTCGGTGTCATAAAGCTAAGACTGGCATAAACAATGCTTAGATGTCAAAACAAATTCACAGACAGAGAAGACCAAAACAAGTCATGTTCAGCAATCCAGAAGAAATATTTATCTGTTGATAACTCACACTTACACAAAACACAAATTGTCAAAGACACAAATCAGTTCTTTAGATCCTCCTTTAGCTCGGTCAAACTCCCCTTCAGAAAGCAAATAAAAGACTTTATAGAGGCCTCAAATATCTGTTAAAGGACACGGCCTTCTCAGTGGAAAACAAAATACAGTGCAGTCACATGTTTATTGCTCCAGCTACTCCCTTTTCCCTTACGATAAATAATCAAACATGCCATCCAGAGCAAACAAAGCTGGAGAAAGCTAGGGGGAAAAAAACACAGTGGTCTTGAAAACGGTCAGCGATACCAAGAAAAGCAAGCGTTGTGTTCCCACAGTGAGCTGGCCAGCCTCACACCTCCACCAGTAAACCATCTGGGTAAATAACTGGCCTCATTCTTTCCATGTTCCTCAGACGATTGCTCCCACAATTAAACAAACAGTTAGGGGGCGCATCCAAACTCATCTCATATACGGGCAACCTATTAGTTCTTCTGTCAATTTCTTGAGAAGTTTGTAACCTGCAAAAGTAAACGGTATAAGAGAGGGAGTAGAAAAACAGAAGAGAAAAACGTTATAGTCATGTGTGAAAAAGTGAGTGAAACTTGTGAAGGACTGTGTGAAAGTAAGATATCAAACAGGGAACGAGCAAACAGAAAGCTGTGTGTAGACAGAAGAAAAGACGTGCCAGTAAAGTCCTAATGCCAGACAAGTCAGACGGTACTTTAAGTCCGAAAGGGGAGAGACAGCTAGGGGTATGAAGAGAACAGCTGTGTGACCGTTTGTGTGTGGGCGTACGCGCTGACCCTCCCAAAAACACGGCTGTCCAATGACATCATGAGTCATAAATATGACCGCAGGCAACAAAGAGGCCACACTGCTGGCATGTCACCGTGCTCGACTTTTAAAGGAGAAAAATTCTCCTTCTCTCAGCCTATCTGTGTCCTTGTGTCACGTAAAGATAAATGTGACCAACCTATCTCAGTCTGCATGCCTAATTGTTTTTTGCTTTGAAAATTGAGAAGGGGAACCCCCTCAAAACAATCACACTCATAAAGAGAGTGTCGAAATTCAAACTAAGAACAATGTGAGCAAGATTCACTCCCACACATGACGGCAATATTTACATTTTAGGCATCAACTTTTTTACTCCAAAGCAACTCACAATTGCAACTTCAAATCGCAAGGACGTGAACTTAATTGACACTCGGAGGAGATCGGAAAAATACAAATGAATAATAATATTGTCTCTTCTTGTCACGCAGACTGTAAAAAAGAAAAATAAATATTAATAAAATAGTGAGAATTGCTTTTGGGAATTCATGGAATCCCAAAGGCTTTTTGTTTGATTGGTTTATTAAAGATTATTTTATTTTTTTCCATCTTAAGAATTTAGTGGTTGAAAACATTTTGTTTAAATTATATAAGAAGCTAAAAATCAGATATTTCACGTCAATTTCCTATGCCAGTTACCAAAGTCAAAAGCTTCTAAAACAATATTGATACCTTAAATATATTTAGGAAACAGTGGTGTTATCTTCAGTGTGGTAGCTCTCATAATCTCCAGGTTTTCTGTTAGCACTACATACTTTAGGACTAGACATTCAAATGTGACTTCAAGATGTACTTGCGCTGTAATACCGATATGTGATAAGGAAATTCAAAATGAAATTCAAAAAAAAAGCAAAGAAGCAGTAACAAAATCATTCACTACGCCCAAGGCGTGGTATTACGGGCACATTGAAGAATAAACAAAGTGTGCTGTTTTCTTTTTCCTTGTAACTGATGACACATGCAGTGAAATGTGTGTGTGGTGTGTGAGTCTGGGTTTACAACCGAGGGTGTTGGAACAAAGAGAGTTGAGTCAACAGGATATGATAGGAAGTTCAGACAGTAATGGATGAAAAGATACATTTCTGGGAAGTCTTTCCTCACTGTCATCAGAGTATAAAGAAAAGAAAAGCGCAGAAAGAAAAGGGTCTTTTAGGGAAAAGTAGATAAGACTTGTGACAATGAAAATAAAATCTTTATATTTTAGAATATAAGTATATATTTATATTTGCTATAAAGTTAAAAAAAACTATTAACAACTCCATTATCTTACTCAGTGCATTCCATGCATGCCAAATTAACCCAAGGCTGTTTAGTTGTGTGTATCACACATAAATAGTAATAATATGACTATTATGACTGCATTAAGGTGCCTCAGCTTAAAGCAAAGGAGTCACAGGCAGTTTAAACAATAACAGCATTCTGCCACATTGCATGAAACGAGAAAATTACGAACACAGCCTTCCACTTTTCACGTCAACAGCTTCATCAAATTATACTTCCAATTAAAGTAAGGGCAATAATTATGTGATCGTGCCCTTGAAAACACAGTCGATGATCATCTTGACATAGGCAAATTAACTGAAATCACATTGCAGCCCGACAGCAAATACGTCGGCGTAATGAGAATCTTACTTTTGACGGTCAGAGCTGCAACAACAGTAAACACATGTTGGCATAAAGAGACTAAAAGGTGAGCAAGCTGAGAAGCTGTGTTGTGAGGTCAGCATCGGGGTTAGGAATGTTGTTTTCAGCTCATTTTAGAAAACCTGCTGGAGGTGGCATGTCTTTGAGAGGCCTAATACTGGGTTTAAAAAAATGTATTGTGTACCGTCATTGCAATGTTTACACAGCACCAACTCCTCTGTTTCAGAGGTCTCATTCCCTTCCCCTCCACCTCTGGAGTTTATCTTCTTTTGATCTCACATTCAAAGGAACTGGATGCATCATACACATGCAAGAGCTGCCCCAGACAAAATGTGATAAACTGGAAACTAGCACGCAGACTCTGAATCATGGTGAAGTGAAACATCTTATTTTGTCGATAAGGGCTAAATGAGTGAGCTAAAAAAATGTTTAGGCTAGTTCTCTCTTTTGTAAAAACAAGAGAGAAAAATTCTGAAATAATGTTGTTATATTTTTGGTTTTATAAACAAGACATGACTTCTCTTATGGTGTACAGCTGTTAAGCAGCGAAATAATCCCTGCTTGTCTTTGCCACACAGCAATAAAGCGAACATCTTTGGACTTTGGATCTTAAAGACGTCACTCTGATCGACAGTTCACACTACCGCTTCGCACCAGCTGACTCACAAAACAGGATTTCTCAAAACCCCGCTGCGTATCTCCAAGATTTTGATTCCGTGATGATGATGATTTGTTATTCTTTAATGTGGAAACTAATTTAATAAGCCCATTTTATCTTACAGGTGAAGTTCAGCTGGTTTTGTGGATTGAACCATGACATATGTGTGACTTAAAACTTGTACTCTGACAAACAACTGATAAACAACAAAACTGAAGGGGAATCGACACACGCAGCCACTAACAGCGATATGGTGACAAGAGATCACAGATAGTCAATGACTGAGCAACTTCAAACACAAGCATGGTTGGCGACAAAACTAATTAAAAAAATCTATTTTATACTTACACTTGAAGAGTCCATTATATGTAGAGTTAGATTTTTAATGCCTATTGGCTACTTTGTCAAAAGAAGAATATACCAAGCAATATTCACTTCAGTCACTTCAGTGTCACAAGCAAAGCAGACTACATGTTGTATTGTTGGCTACAATAGCACACAAATGTCTTCATGACCTCCAGCCATCAGTTATTAAAGACTACTGATGGCAGGTTCACTAAAACAACAGAAAGATTCTCAAAGTTTGTAAGTTATCCGACTAATGTGGCAAATGTTGCCATTGGTTGTGATGACATCTCCACAGGCCGCAGCTATATTGATCTAAAACCAGTAAACAAGGACCTGCGTATTACTGAGCTTTTATTTGTACCATGGCCTAATGCAGGGGTGTCCAACTCCAGGCCTTACCAGGCCTCTGGAGAACTTCGACACATGTTGAGGAGGTCATTTAGCCTTTCAAATCAGCTGTGTTGGACCAAGGACACATCTAAAACCTGCAGGACACCAGCCCTTGAGGCCTGGAGTTGGGCACCCCTGGTCTAATGTAATGCAATCTGAATCCAAAATCTTAAATCTTAAAAGATCGACTGTGGCGATTAAACATGGCTCATGCCTTTGTGGTGGCATAAATGATCACAGTGTAATTTGGGGATGTGCAGTGCCTTTGTATGAAAGTATTAATATAAGGTCTGAATTTTCAGCATGGCACAAGTGGGCAAAATGCACTTTGAGTGGGCAGTGAACTAGAAAAGAACTATATAAATGCCATTTCGAGTCTGCACTGCACACGGCCACAGAAGATTATGACTGCAAATATCACTCATATGTCTTTGCTCACTATGGAGCCAGAAATGTTATATATCCCATGTATGTAAAGAGAAAAAAGTGAGGGGAAAACAGTGTGTATGTTGAATCAGTTTCTGCTTAAACAAACAAGACTACAGTAGTCCTATCATAATCTCAAACTGAGGTTCTTTGTCAGGTGAGCTTGTTACGGGAATAAGGACACAACTGCAAAGACAGACGCCTACATTCATACACCAAGCATACATTCATTGTTTGTGAGTTAACATGAAGACAAATACACACACAAGGGAGTGAACCCTCTAGGTGCTTTTGATTAGAAAACACCCTCCAGCACATAACAACATTTTATCAGCAACAAAGACATTGCAATTTGGTATCCTTGTCATTTGAAATCCTCTTTTATTTTCCACATTTCAAATGTGTTCAAAGTTCACATCCTCTTCCCCATGTTAACACAACTTC